CCCCCCCCCACGCTGCGCCTCCAGAATGCTTCCTTCGGACCCCAGAACAAGCCTCCCATCCAGAACCATCCCTCGCCTGGCATTAGTCCAGTTGGGCACACATTTAGCAGAAATGCCTCCTCCATGCTGTCCTCCAGGGATATCTGTGCCAAGGCCCTTTATAACCCCAGACGACCCAGCTCACTAAGCTTGGAGGGACCTCAGGTGCCACCAGCTCTCCCTCTGGATCCCCCAGTGCTTGCCCCGTACGCCCTGGTCCTGAGTTGGCCAGTTTACCCAGGGACAGCAGCCAACAGGGATAGGGGTTCTCCAAACTAGCCAACAGATCCTTTCTCACGACAGGGAGGGATAGGGGGACAGGGCCAGGGTGAGGCCAGCTCAAGTGGTCAAGTGGCATAGGGATCACACACACGCCCGTCTGTTCGTTCTTCAAACATTCGCTGAGTGCCTGCTGTGTGCCAGGCACTGTTCTGGGCACCGGAGACCACAGCAGAGAACAAGCCAGAAAAAAAAGCTTTGCCCTCATGGGACTGACATCCGTAGGGAACACACACAAAACAGATAGGTATAAAGATATATTGTGTGTTGGGTGATCCACGCTAAGGGAAAATAGAAGGGGGCTGAGGAGGCGGGGGCCAGCTCAGGAAAGGCTGCATGAAGACCAGGTGACACTTGAACAAAGACTTCCAAGAGGTGAAGGAGGAGCCGTCCAGACATCTGGAGGAGAAGTTCAAGGTGGAGGGAACAGCCAGTGCAAAGGTCCCGAGGCAGAAACATGCCTGGGGTATTTGAGAGACAATGAGGAGAACAGTGTGATGGACGGACGAGGGGAGCAGGGTGGAAGAACTGAATTTCAAATCTTTGCTCCCCAACTTTCTGGCTGAATATCGTTGGCCAAGTGATCACACCTCTCTGAACCTCAGTTTCCTTATATTGAAAACGTGCAGTTTGCAGTTACGCCAAGGCTCTGAGATGAGATGAGGAATGTCCCGGCCCAGGGCCCAGGATGGGGTAAAAGTTGGATAAGCGAGTGCCCGGAGGTACACCAGGTACATGCAGTCCTGTGGGCCCGGGACGGGGGGGTGCTGGGTCAAGGGACCCTGACAGACCCAGCCGCCCCATAGGTCACCCCAGCTCACACGCACGGCTGCCTGCCGGGCCCCATGGCAACGCTGCACACAGAGACATCAAACAGGCCCTGCCGAGGAAGTCCCACGTCACTGTGGTTAGGGTGGCTCCTCCCAGCCCAGCCCCCCTGGCGCGCGTGTGCTCCTCCGTGCCAGTCAGGGCCCCTGCCTCCCATCGCCCTAGTGACGGGCTGTGTTGTGGACGGAGCAGGGATCCCACCACCTGCCCCCTCCCTAGCCAGTTCCAGCCATTCCCCACATCCGGGGAACGACGTTACGAGGTGGCCCCAGTTCACTGCCACGAACCCTTCCATTGAGCCACCCTCGGCCCGGGTGACAGCACCAGGGAAGCCCTTGCCTACCCACCTACGGCTGAGAGAAGCTGAGGCCCCAGGGATCTGTGGGGACCCCCACCCCCTCCCCCCAGCCTGGCGCCTGAAATCCCTAGGGCAGCGCCTGGGTGTTGCTCAGGGGCACTGGAGGGGTGAGTCAGACAGGAATAGCCCCCAGGCCTGGCCCAGCCCCCACCCGAGGACTGACTCACCACCCACCCAGCACCGGATGACATCAGGGCCTGGCCTGCCACCCTCACCTGGCACCGCGCCAGAATGGGGGCGCCCGAGAGGTGTCACATCTGGCTGCCCTCTCCCCTCAGACCGGGACCTGGCAGGCGCAGGGTTAAGGAGGGGCCCTCCTGGGGGTCTCCCCCCTAATCCCATCCCCCCTTTCCCGGGGATTTCGGGCCCCAGCCCCTCTGACGTCACTGGGGGTTGCTATGGCAACTGGCCGAAGTTCCCAAATAAAATTACCGCGGGCGGGTTAAGTTTCCTAGGAGGCAGCCGACGGGTAAACAATGGCGGTGGCAGGCGGGGCCGATGAGGGGCCGTCTCCCCCCCCCC